CAGCAGATATGAGATATTCCAGAACAATGTTCCAACCAATCAGAAATGCCCAAAACTCGCCCATGGAGACATATGTGTATGTATAAGCTGAGCCCGTTTGAGGAATTCTTGCCCCGAATTCCGCATAGCAGAATGCCGCGAGAAGTGTGACAAATCCCGCAATAGCAAATGATAGAATGACTGCAGGGCCAGCAGTATTTTTTGCAACAGTTCCAGTGAGAACGTAAAGACCTGCTCCCATCATGGAACCAATACCAATCATTGTCAGATCAAAGGTGGAAAGACATCTTTTCATAGGTGTATCTAAATTATCAGATTCTAAGCTCTTCAAACGACTTAATCTTTTAAGAACAGAAGAAAAGAATGCCATGATGCCTATAGAAGGTTGGACTAAACTTATTTGATGTGGGAATGTTACTTCGTTGTTTGCTTGTTGTATAGCACTTCAATCAACTTTCTACAAAAAAATCAAGAAATAAATTAGGATAAGTAAATGAAACATAATCGGATTGCTACAGTCAATGTTCTGATCTGGAATTTCAAATTATTTCTATACATATCAAGCAGTTTAATTAATATTAATTTATTAATATCCATCATGATAAATTAGTTTCTAACCACACCTGATGTGTCAAATTTCTTGGCAACAAAAAAGAAAGATATTTGAATGAAAGACTCAAGCAGAGAAGAATAAAGGAGATACAACTGTTCCAAGGTGGGGCCAACCAGTTTCTTGATCGTTGCCATAACAACAGTTCTTGTGGGTCAGAAATACAGATAAACAGATGCACAGACAGATAAATGAGAATGTGTGATTAGAAGGACACTTTTAGCAGGGAGTCGGACGCCAATAAATATAGGGAGTATATAACAAAGAATAAGGTAAACTATGTCATATGTCAAATAAAAGTAACTATGTACTGCATGCTTTACTGGAACCGGTGCTCTCATACGACACTTAATCACCTAGCTGCACGGCACGTTTTCCTCATAGTCGCCAGGCAACTCAAATAAACCAAGGGTATAAATGAGCAGAGACGATAAGGTAAGTTAACGTATTAATGAATGAATTCAAGTAATGTAAAATATGTATTGTAAAGGTAGTTTTAATTTAACTTGAAAAATGGTCTTGTAACTTCGTGTAATTAGGTTTTTATAATGCAGATTATAGATGGACATGATCTGTGCTTTTGCAATTAATATTAATCTAAAGCGCATGGGACCATATTGTTACATTCCGGTTTTTCGAAAACTGTTCTTTTCCATTTTTTTATTAAACATAGCACTTTTAATTGCTATGGTTGAGTAAGGCTGTAGAATGTACATATTCATTTATATCATGAACATAAATAATTTTCCATGGATTCCTGGTTGAATGATTTACAGCAATATAATAAAACTGCTTCTCCATGATAACATCTTATTTGATGAAACCTGTCACTTAATCATAAGCATCATGTTTGCTAAACAATTTCCGTTTTTGAATTTAGTAGAGTAAGTTAATTTCTGGTTGGCTAAACACTGTGCTTTGAATGAGCCTGGAACATTTTACCGAAAATTTACCATATATTCTAGTTTCTATATTCAAAACTAGTTCACAAGCATATAGCACAAATAAGCATATGGCAATGAACAGAATCACATAGGGACACGGGGACTGACTGTTAGGCAAGACAAATGAATTTATCTTTAATATAAATATTATTCCCATGTAGCAGCCATCAGGCAAAATACGAGCAACCTGTTGGGCGAGATAGCTCCTCTGTTAGCACATTTCAATTAAAGAACTGAAAATACCATTAGTAAATGAGCAATAAATATAGTGTCAAATCAATCGGACTTGCTGTTTTTAACAAGAAGTCAAAAATATCACTTTTTACCAAAAATAAGAAAAATATTCACCAAAGTATTTAATTAAAGATATCTTCATGAAATTAACATATCTGAGAAAGGTCTACCCAAGGTACATATATACACCAAGTATCAAAGCATTCAGGCTTGAAGTTTTAAAGGAGAAGTCGAAAACGTAAAAAGTTGACACGGACAACGCCGACGGACATTCACTCATATGATAAGCTCTGCTCGACAAAATCAACAGCGGAGCTAATAAAAAAGGGGTTGCATATAATTAATAAAGAAGTGTATTGTGATATACGTTTTCACATGTTAAAAATATTAGATCAGTAGAATTTTGCAAAAAACATTAACTCTTGCTCTAAAAATTTGACACAAAAGTAGACAAAATATTGATTGATTCATTAACCAATGGACATATTATGAGCTAATATTAAAATAGATGTTTCAGGGGAATATAAACATTCCAAGAAAATAATAGAACACTGAAAATAAATTGTATTTATTCCTAATAAACAGCTATATAGTATTTTCTTTCTAATATTTTAGATTATTATTATTAAGTAGTTTGGTTCATGTTTACACCAATTATCGATTCCAATGATTCTCAAGAATGTATGGGCAACTACTGAAAGTATGGTGCAACATGAGATACTATACAGAATACGACGCACCACTGAATAATTAATACGTGCACTGAAGGTTAGTTCTATTGTCACTCGTGATTCTGCAAATTCCAGGATGTTTTTTTGATCTTAATGACCATTATTAGTATTAATATTATTATTAGGGTTCTAGCCCTATATGGTCATGTGACCTCATTAGTATGTATAACGGACATGCAACCAGCGCTGCAAGTGTATACATCACATGTGCCATTAAGCCACGAGGCTCGAAACCCGGTCATTACTGCTATATTTATTATTATTATTATTATACATTTGGCACCAGTGTTCACCTCATTAGCATAACCACGTCTCTTGTGGCTTTGATGACGGTTATGGTATGTTTTGAAACCCTCAAAGTCAATGCGTTGTGTGTTACTCAAATATAAAGACACATTTTAAAAGTCAAAATATTATATAAGTTTGTGTATTTCACTAGCAACCTTCACTTTTTGTGTGCTTTTTTACGTCCTGTTGTGCTTTGCATATTTAAGTGGGGGTGAAAACATAATCTGGCAAACATGTATTCTTACCTTAGAACGACATATTGTATTTCAGTAAACAATTTAAATTGGAGATACAAATAAATTAACATTGATTAACTAAATATTTAAAGCGAGAGAAATTCACTGAGGGAGTATTGTACATGTAGATAGCTAGAGATAAGCTTTTGTTGTTTTCCTAGCGGCGACGTTCACAGAGATTTGTATTAGGTAATGTGTTTGATTTATTTTAAAAATTAAAGATGAACGAATGCAAAATATCGGCGAAAGGGCTTGTGTTTTTCTAAATTCAATCCAAAATCTATTATGACGCAGAAACAATCATTGAAATTAGTGAATCTAAACTGAACAAGAAAAATTATAGAAAACAAAATGTCACACCTACACGACCTCACTAGTGTTTATGATTGTAGGTCAACCAAACCGTGAAAACAGACAATGTGTCAGCAACAATCGAATCATCCACAGAAATGAAATAACTCATTTAGACTATAGAGCAATAATGCTCACAGCGAATAATAACTGAGTATGTTGACACTTACTTGTCGAGTGAAATTAATTATGCTATTCTGGGATGATTGGGAGTGTGACGTATGTAATCTAAAGAAATATACACTACTAACGGTTTGAAGATGTAACTATCAAAATTAAATAAAATCTATTCTTGATCTGTACATTTTACCATGTTGATGTAATAGGGGGATTTAGCTTAAATTAATTCGTAGATAATAGTACTTCAAGCTATCTAATCGGGTGCACATTTTATAAGCATATTTTGTTCAAAAGTACTACTTAATTATAGATATTGATATATGCTATATACTTCTGGTGTTTTCATCAATTTGATCAGTACAAATGGTTTTTGAAAAAATCGAAAGACAGTATGACAAAAATGTCCTTTTCCATAGGAATTTAGGTAAAGGCATTATGTTATTGAAAATAAATAGTATTCACAAAAGTGTTTAATAATTCGTGAGAATCAGAATTACACATGTTGAGATAATGTCTTATCTATTTATTCATTATGTAATACTGAAGGATATTTATTCAATGACTCAAACATCGTTTTCATGGTTTTTAGCCTCTTTTACACGTAAAATGTGTTTTTTCACAACAATAAAAAATAAAACCATAGTGTGAATATCATGAGAATCTAAATATACACGATTAACTGCAAATGACCTTAGTATAAGCACTTCCACTGAGGTTAAATAGTAATTTACATTCAAGAAAGACTATGCTAATATTCAGCTGAGCCTAAAATTCAACCAGAATGTGTAACTTTTCCTTTCGTTTAATCCGGTGACATTTTTGTTGCACATGTCCTACTAGTCATTGTAAAAAAGCAAATTCACTAAATACTATGACAAGCTGTGTTTGTGGCTGTGCGATGTAGGGAGCACGTTTTCTTACAGTGCCAAGTTGTGAGTTCGAATATTCTGTTTGATGTTTATAGACTCGTATATGTAACTCTTATTTCGATCTGTGACCACCTCAATTTACACATTCACTGTGTACAACTGATCACAATCATGCAATGTCACCCATACCTGTAATATCAAAATATATACATCCAGCACACTCAATAATAACCAATTTACATCTCACGGTATCCCAACAGAGTTTTCTTGAAGAAGCCCTATTTCTAGGGCGAAACGTTGGAATAAACATCACAGAACTGACCAGGTGTATTGTCGTGACAATCCTTGTGTTATTTTCATATTATCAACCCGCAATACCAGCTACGGGGGATCGTCTGATTTAATATTGTTGATTATATTATTACAATAATAACAGAGTAGAGCAGTACGTTGTTGATCTACTGATCATTTGACGTGAATGTCTAAGAAATTGTATACAAATATGATTACACGACGTGTTAAGGAAAACCGTTTTGAAGCTATATATGACAGATATGTAGAAATTAAACTGCACTCAGATGAAATAAAAACCTGTGTAGATATTTATATCAACACTTAAAGCCACGGTTTAAATATTATAGTTACAGAGCTATGACCAGAATCTAGTCTGCTAACCCTGTGACATTCTCTTTTGACCTTGAAAAGAAACCAGGTTCTGCCTGTTATTAGATCTGTGTGTGTGTGTGTGTAATATTTGAAGGCTATACCTATTTCCCTTTGAAGATATATTGCAATCATAAATACATATTGTGTCTTAAATACATATTTTGATCTTAAAATAAAACACAATTAATTGGGAGAATCATTAATATAAAGGATGTTGACAGTGACTACCTTTTTTGTAATCGTATTCCAAATAGACTTACACTTTGTTACTGTCACCACGAAATCAACCATGCAGCTTAAAATATATTTGTTGCTTTACATGTGTGCCTAGTTAAAATGTAATCTGTTTCTTTTAGATATACATACACATATTCTGTGATCTTTGAATTTTTCTCTAAAAATCTAAATGAGTCTTGTAGGTTACATGAATGTAAAGTTTAAAGGTAGTAGCTATTTTGCAAGTGCAGTTAATGTAGTTAAAGAGCAAAGAGGCGTTGTCGCCGCTAATGTATATCAGACCTTGAGGACAAGTACAGTTTGCTGGCGTTTTTTTTTTTAAATGCAGACTCGGTGCAACACAAATTAAAATACAACTTGACATACTAACAATTGTAGCGCGAGACGCACAGGGCAGAAAAGTACGACTAGAAACAGAGGCGGCGGCACGACATTTTCACCAACCTTGCGCCGATGGCACGACCTTACTAGGGGGTCCTGGGGCATTCTTTCCCTTAAATATTCTAAAATCCAAACCCTCTGAAACACTATTTCCTGCATTTTGAGGGATAAATTTTGCTGACACAAAGGGTTTCAGCTTGATTTTAGAAAGCGACGCCCCCCCCCTGTGCTGACGCCACTGAGGAATGTTCAAACATAATGAAGTTATATATAAAATATATTAAGGTCGCCAACATCAAATGTAATATATGTTGGAGACAATCAAGAAGGTGATAGACAGCACGGCGATGTAGAGAGAACTCCTACAATGGTGCAGCT